GGTTATCCGTTGGTTGGGTTCAATTGTGAAAACAAATCTAACTGAACAAAGTGTTTCCACAATCAATCTCGTCACGCCACCATAGTCAAATATAGTCATTTATTGGTCTATATGAAGCCCGATATAAACTCATCACCCATCGAGTACTTTTGTATACATGAATGGGATATTCCCACACATATTCTGCAAACCCTTCAAAAGCATGAATTTCAAGTCATAGCTCTTGGAAAAGGTAAGGGAACTCAACTTTGAACTAGGACGGTCCTCGCCAAACGTGCAGGCAATATCACAACCTTTAATGCTACTGGGAAAGTAGTTAAAGTACAATTCGATTTGTACCCTACTTGAATGATTTTGAGCAGTTCAACTTGATCAGTTCAACAGATGTCGGAGTACCGTGAATTCCAAGTTCTTGCAGGACGGATCCAAGACGGTTGGTTGGGATGTCACACCAACCCAACCCAACCCAACCCTTCAACTGAACGAAGTCAATTATTTACTCATTCTAAAGGGCCGGCCGTGCAATTTGATTTTGTGAACCAAATTTTTTTTCAAGGGTATTTTGGTGCATGCCTTTTTGTTTTTTATACTAACGCAAATCCCCATATTCATGAGTAAAAGAGATATGTCATTTCAGGTAGAAACCTCAATGCCCTTACAACTATTTCAGCACCGAAAGTAACCAGAATGTTGGATATTTTGATGTCGAAAGTGTTCTTTTCTGTGGTGATTCGTTGTTGTGTCAGTAAAGCCAATAAGCAAACTTTTCTCACAAAATGTTTCCAATGAGCAAACTTTTGGGATCACAATTTGAACGCCTCATCACTCACTTTTGTATAGATCTAAAAAGAATTTGGAGCGATGACTCACACCAACCCTCCTCCCCTTGGAACATCTTCGACATCAACACCAGGGGCGTAATCCCGGGGGGGGGGGGTATATATCCCCCACTTTTTCACGGGGAGGGGGGTGGGCTATTGAATCATTCCCCCCCCCCCCCCCCCCCCCCCACACACACACACACACTTTTTTGTAATGAGGGAAAAAATGCAGATTTTGAGGAATTTTCCGAACGTCCCAACAACTAAAATGTATTTAATGGCACTGGTAAGTGAAACAAGGTACAAAAGCTTGAAAAATGTAAGCGCGAGTAAACATATTGATATACATCTTTATCCTGAAGAGCGTCCTTAGTATAATGTGGTGTCCAGCCCCCCACTCGCCGACAAGAGCAAATGTACGCCACTGTTCAACAGCGCATGCGAGACTCCGACTTTTTACTGTGACTGCATGCATGTTGTAGCGCCCTCATTATTTTGACTGCACGTTACCGACTATGTAAATGAAGTTTTAGTCGGACTCAGTAGGGCCTACATATTTGGCAAAATTTACCGCAAACGTTAAACGCATTAAAGTTTGAAGCAGAATGGTAAAGGACAGCGAGCCAGTCTAATTGTGCTGGTTTCCACACGCTTATTAAGGTGACAATGACTGCATAGTTAAAAGTACCAGTCAAATCTCAGGCTCAACGAGGCCTGGCGCGAATGTCAGAACTTGAGTAGGACTGGTGGCGAGTCTGTTCATCACGAAACGAGCGATGACGTCATATATATTGTGATACTATTTTTAGCAGTGAAAGGCGGCTAGCTACGCGGGGTATATAAAGCGGCCATTACTGCGCGCTAGTCAGCAAAATTGAATGTGAATCATTCTGTTTTTCCTCTCAGTCTCAAAAGCCCAACGATGCGTCATCGTCAAGCTAAAGGGCAAGACAAAAAGAACTTCAGCTAAACTACTGTAAACGTTTTCTCTCACAGCTATTTCATGCCTTTTTGCGAGTTTTATTTATTTACTACTATTTTTTTCAACGTAAAAGTACGAGTAACAGCGCCCTCCACGGCATCATGACGGTGAACAAAAACTTATAAATACACTGTAGTTTGTTCGCCACTGAATTTGCATGACAATGTCACCCATCTGTCAATAACAAAGCTTTTATATCCGTCAGTAATACTTATATTCACAGTTTCATTATGAAATTATTAAAATAAAAAAAAACTTAAATAAACGTGTTAGTTTTTATTATTATATGGACGATATACGGGGCATACTTTAGCTACATGTCCAATTTTCGTTTGCTATTGTTGCTGTGTGATTAATATTATTGTTCTGGTGGTTTTTTTTATAGTTTTGTTATTGAAACGTTTATTTTTACATTATGCACGCCTCGAGGGTTGATTTCTTTATTGTTTGCATAGGCACCGGAGATGTTTACACTTTTGTGGGTGACTCATTAATATTCATCATGTGACTCTATTGATGTGCAAAGAACAACAAGATACGCCACGTCTGCAAAATTGGCAGTCAGCCTAGTATCAATGACGTCATGGTCTATATTAAGCTCTGTCGCAAGCGTTAAAAGACATTACAATTGAACTCGCATGGCGCAATGCATTGTGGTGGGGTGACTTATCAGCTGGGGTTTAAAGACTGGCCCGGACTTGCCCGAAATTTGAACTGTTTTGGAATTTCCCAAATTATGCGTTCTTCTCTGATTGGTTTGCGGGTTTCAAGGTATTGTGCATTAAAAAATTCCCCAAACCTCTGCAATCGCCATATGATCTGAGTAAACATCACCCGTCACGGACATCAATTTAACGGATCTGTGTATCTGGGTACAAGATAGAGGAATAAGTTGTCTCTTCTGTCTTCTTGTCATCTGGACCATCTCAGAAATCCAAGGAACTGTAGCAAGGCAACGAGACGCTTTGTTTACAAACACAGTTTGTTTACAAACAACCCGCCGTTGACTGGGACTCTGGGGCTGGTGAATGAACTTGGGCCAGCAGAGGTTGACGGAGTTAATAGGCCTAACACGAAACTGGTTTGCTTGCTTGGTAAGTATATATGCATCATATTTTATTTTTTACGACTGTAACAAGAAATCATACCTGGTGGAGTTTCGAGGGACGGTATTTTAAAAACATTACAATTTGGAGGGAAATGTGTTCACTGCATAACTCAATGATTTTTTTTTTAATATCTCAAGATAAATCAAAACATCATGGCTGTACAACTGCAATTTTGTTATTGTTTAAGTACCTGTATTATATCACAAATCGTTTTGTTGTTCTTTATTTGCCGCGTTTGTTTAAAGGTGTTGCTCTTTTTTGTTGTGGATAAAAGCTGACTATGTGGGCGGATAAAGTTATAACTAGTATACATGTATATCCCGGAGGAGGCATTGCCGTGTTGGGATGGCTAATCACCACTCTTGTTTGAAAAAAAAACATTTTGTTTTTACTTTTGTTTTAAAAAGAAAATGGGGAGGGGGGGGGCAAAAACATTTCAAAATTTCTTTTCATAAATTTCATATTAAATATTCTTGGTTCATTGCTTAAAGACCATGGTCTCTGTACTAACTTCAATACTCCAGAGTTATTCACTTTTCGCTATAAATATTTTGTTAACTTTGTTGTTATTTCTTTCTTTGATGATTCATGCTTAGGTTACGCCTAATCCCTCTGGTTACTTGACGTGCTTTGAAATGTGCACTTTCATTGAGCTGCAACAGTGGATTAATATTTGGCTTTCCTGTGTTATTTAAACTTAAAATTTCATATTATAATCTTGTATTGCCTTTGTAGCCATGCAGGAATGGTCACGTGATTTTTAGGGATTGGATTTCTATTATTTTTTTCCCCGCAACTTATATGCATGAGATAATTTTTGTGCAACTTTATATAATAATAATAATAATAATAATAATAATAATATGCATGAGATAATCTTTCTTCAATCTTAAATGTTCATGTGTGTGCAGTGATGTCTCACTCAGCGGTAAGATACTTGCAATGGAAAATAGACATCAGATATTAAGTATTAAAGATGGACAGCGAATGCCACAATGGTTTTGCAGGGTGAGGGTTGCATGAATTGCAACATTCAAACACAAACAAGTTTTAAAACTCATAATTGGTGAAATTAACATTATGTGATCGAGTCAATAATTGCGCCACAAATTATTGGTTCACAAGTAACGGGGTGAAAAATGACAAAAGAAACATTGTCAGAGTTGAGTAGATTGTGACTGACACCGGCGGATTTAATCCCCCCCCCCCCCGGGCCGCCGAAAACCGCCCCAATCCTCCCGAGAACCCTCTACGCTCAACATGGGTCCAAGTGACGCCCCAAAAGAGGACTTCCCCTCCTTTGACTTGGGATTGACTTGATTTACCTCCTCCGAAGGAAGCTGGGGCTTTCCTCAAAGGCTTAAAAAATTGAACGTCCCCTGATCGTCTTCAAGATATAACCAAGACCCCTGTTGAACACAAACAGATCTGTTTAACATACAAAATAGTGCTTTGTAGCATGCATGCATCATTGCTAAGAGAGGAATTTCTTCCAATTGTCACGACATTTTTGCCTGTATTCTTCTGTCTTGTTGACTCTCCTTGAAGACTCTCTAAATTGCCCAACGAATTCATCAAAGCAGTTAATCACTGCAATTGTGTTTATGAGGGAATGGAGGATGAATTAATATAGAAAGTTTAAATGATTGATTTCCCAAATGTTGGAAAAGAAACAAAGAAATAATGAAAAATGTCATCGATTATGGTAATTAATAAATACATACAAACCAAGGCCAACAAGTGCAGTGAAGTAGGTAAACATTGTGACGTCTCCATTAGATTTTCTACTCGGACTTTTTTCACCCACCTTTTAAAACCTTATATAGCCGGCTATTTTACCTGTCATAAAAATATTTGTATTTTCAGTTTAAAACATAAATTTTATAAGCTGCATGAAAAATTTCACTTTCAGAAAGGTTATTTTAAAAATATTCAGAAAGTGACATTTAGTGATAAATTTAATTCCGCAAGACTCTTTCGAGCTCTTGAAATAAAATGGAAATTTCCATGGCGATTTACATCAACTTTAGATTTAATAGATTTTAACTTTATAGATTTAAACACCTCGCCAAATTTCCATTCATTTTACCATATTGACTTACATCTGGATGTTCTATTGTAGCTACTTACGACCTTAGTGCTACAAGTTCAGTGGAAATTTCCAGAACCATTTTTTTGGCTGATGCAACTTTATGCAAATGTCGCGTTCAAAAGAGAAAAATCGCCTCTTGAAACCAACAAAAAGAGTTTTTTTAATGGAAAGTAATGCAGGGTATGTTTTGTTTATTGATAAACAACCACAATAATTCTATTGTCAATATCTTAGGTAACTTTTTCTCCTTAAAAGTGCACGAAACACCAACTACACGTTCAAATCAAATTTGCTATCCTCGTATGATGAAACGCGTGACCAATGTTGCCACACGAACTGCTAGTTGTATAAAAGCGGTAAGTACAATGTACGTGTGTTCAGTTCACGTTCGGTGTTGGGGTACTGAGTAGGTGTGTACGCACTGTCATCTCAATGAAGATTCGCAATCAAACTATGTTTCTGATCAACAAAAACCACATGAAGCATAATGGGGTAAGTGCATTGAGGGGATTACAAATTTGTCATTTTTTAAAACACTTTTAAGTTAATTTGATACTATGGACTGTGACAGGCTTATTTTACGCCTTACATTTCACTAAAATTACCGCCGCACGAAATTATTTTGTTGTAAGTTGTAAAAATCTTATATCATTAATATTTGAAACTTCATTTGTAAGACATAAAGAACCCAGAAAACTACCATTGATATTTATTGTTCAAAACGACCTTGTGATACCGGTAGTTTCTTTCAAAATATTGCACTCTTTGACTTGCCGTGATAGTTGCATTATGTAAGTAGGACAAAGATCAATCTCACCTGATCATTTTCTGAAAATGTGCTAATCGCGTAACGATCTCGTGAGTTTTGTTTGCTTTTTATTGTATTCCCCTCAGTTTCGTTTTCGTGACATAATTTTACACAAGTGATCTTCTTAATTTATTTATTCAACCCTACGACGACATGCAGAATATTTGCTTTTTTTCTATTCCTTTTTTTTTGGGGGGGGGCTTGGTGTTTCGTTGTTAATGTTTTCTCTTTGCTTAGAAAGGTGGTTAACATTTTGACTCACGTCAGATAAACTGCCACCTCTTAATACAAAATGAGATAAAAAATGTACCATTATTGCTTGGTTTTCATCTCGACTCAATCTGAAGCTAGACGCTTATGATGCCCGTGCTCTGTACACGTTGCGTTCATATTGTTGTTGCTTAAATTTAGCAATTATTGTGAGGATAGAATATGTCACATGGGATTTCAACTGATAATTAAACTTGACTTGAGCCTTGAAAAGCAAGAGTTGAAAATAGCACTGCACATATTACGACTGTGAGTCCACCGCTACATAAACTTTGTCAACATTTCACTGTCAAATGTTGAGCAATAAACGTAAAACCGGGTTCCTGCGACATTGGTCTCTTTTTATAACCAAAAATCTCACTGTTTTCTCGAAAATATTTAATCCAACATTTGTGCTTTTTCCGACCGGAAGTTGGGGAAGTTGCTAAACAGTTTAACTGGAAGCTATTCATACTCCATTGACAAAATATTGTATTTTTTGTGTTCTTATTTTAGAAAACACTGGTGTTAACATCAAGACGTACACACGATGCTCATTGGCGCTGGCGACATATCTACTGGTCAAAACACCTTACGAAGAGACACATCTTTTGTCATGGCAACGGGAAGGGGTTCTGTAGGGTCCCCCGCATCATCCAGTGACTCGGCAGGAGGAGATTATAACGTCTTCGAGACTGACTTTGACTTGTCGCCGCTCATCAAGGAAGAATTACGGACTACGATCCGGAATCGACGAATCAACAGTGGCAAATCGGACGATTTGTCTTACGACGATCCGCCCAAACCTCAGTATAAGGTAAACTCAACAAAGCCATTCTCAAAACTTTGAAACCTTTTGTTTGTTTATGGAGAAGTCTATAGTCTTTTTAGTCTAAATGCATGTCGTTTGTTCGCATCTTCTGTGCGTTTATCTGATTGTTTCAATGAGCTTGTTGCTCGTAAAAATAAAAATGCATGCTTGCCTACTATATTGGTGAAACTGTTTCCAGGCAAAAAGCCACTGAGTAACCCTTCTCAGAAGATTTGCAGTGGATATAGTTGTCTAAAATATATCATTAAAATTTGGGACAAATAGGCCATTCTTTCGTAGGAACTCGGAACTCAGGAATAACCCCTATAGCTGCAGCCTGTTGGTCAGAATGACGTCTGTGCATCTAGAGCATCATGTCATAGATTCGAAAGTTTTTATTAAAGCTATCTTGCACGTCCGTGGCTATTTCAAACACAGAAATTTAACGTGTCGTTTTTATTAAATGTTTGTTTCAGCTGACGAAGGAAGAGGAGGAGAAGCGGCAATTGCGTCGGGATCGGAACCGTATCGCAGCGGCTAAGTGCCGACAGAAGAGAAAGTATGAAAGCGAGGAATTGTCTGTGGTAAATATCTTTATTTTATCGTTCTCATATCACTGATTCACAGAGATTTATACCTCAAAATTATTCATGACCCAGATTAAAGTTATTAAATTACGGTAACTGCACAGCGATTGTTGGGGAATAGATTCTCCCACATTGAAATTTCTTTAGAAACTGATCAAACTGTATTTTGGACTATTTTTATGCCTGCTATGAATTATTCTTTAAAGTCAACAGAACATTTTAGAAAATGATACAGATACTTTACTAGGATATTTTTCAACGGTGTGATGAAAACCTGCCTTTAATTCGTGCGTCTTATATGAATTTGCTTTGCACCACGTGACATGGATCTCTTTTTTTAGTTTGTGTGGTTCGAAAAATTAAAAGAACCAGAGGAAACCAGAATTATTAAGATGTAAGATTTAGGCTGACAAAACCTTTTTACACAAAATAAACGCCAACTTTTCTTCATAATCGCCTTCAATGCCTGCAAGTGCAATAGACTAGAGTTGTCGTTTGTCTCAAGAATATCAGAAATATTATGAGGTATTCATTCCACAAAATGGCAGCAAATTATCAGTGAATCTGAATGTTTGGATCGTTATTGTTTATCATTTCAGGAGTCCGATCAGTTGCAGTCTAGAAACGACAGACTCCGTACAGAGATTGAAAAGCTGCAGAACGAAAAGAGAACGTTGCTTGAGCTGATCAACTCCCATCGGCCATCTTGCATCATGGCGACAGGCAGTAGCCCGGATGCTGCGCACAACATTCACAATGTAGCGTATTCGGTCAGATGACATCACTATCGTCTTGTTCGCGCATGACAAATGGCGTTAACTTTGCCATTTCGTTTTACTATATCGAGATAGGCCTATGCAATATACTAACACAGATTATTTTCAGAAATAAAGTAACTCTGGTTGTGACATTATTCGATTCGAGTGCGGGTTACTATATTACTTATTTTCTAAAAATGAGGTAGAACAGACGGACGTGATATGATATTTTTGTGAATATTTACGGAAACAAAATTATTTAATAATGTACTCTATACTAGTTACTCGGGTTTTAACTTTCTATAAGAAACTGTACACAACATTTTATAAGTAACTGTACTTTGGTGTTTCGTGTATTATGACGGAAAATTCTGCTTCTAATATTCTTGCATGACCAAAATCCTATTGGACTTAATTTGATTGTTGATAGTGAAAGTCTTATCTCGTGGCATGCATTTCCTATATGCACGCTTTTACTAAACACCTTCAAACAGGGCCGGCTGTCAATGTACGAGACTTGATTTAAAATTTGAACATTGGCAAGTGTGAAACGACCATTTTAAGGCCTCTCGGGTTAAGTTTCATGGCCAGTACTATAAATAATCAAACAAACAGGAAGGCGTCTTGAAGCCAACTTAGTGCTAACTATATATTGTATATATATTGGATATGCAAATCGGTCAGACAAAGACAGGAAACATAGTAAATCAGAAACGGAAATTGAGGATTAGCTTTCTTGGCAGTAGTGTGATCATCATTATTGTTAAAATGTAAATATTTTGTAACATTGATCTTAAATTATGCAAGTTGTAGAGTTGAACCATTATTGTAATTGTATACAACCTCGTCGTTTTGCTCTGTTCTCCTCTGTTGTTGCGTTGCTTAGGAATTTTATGACGAATCTGTTAAGTGAAATTATGCTTTTGACGTATAAGATTATAGTTTAGCAAGCGCTGATGTGTTCGGGCAATTAAGGAGCTAAAGGTCTACTGCCTAAATCTTACCAACATTTTAATCACTTTATTTGGAAGCCTTTAAATCGTTTTTCAAAATAACAGAGTTAAGTAAACCTGTCAGAAAATCAGTTATTTTAGAGACTTTTGAAAATAAGAGTTGAAAGGTTATTTTATTCTTGCTTCAGGTCTTGGCATCACTTGTTATGGCCTATTCTGTATTTGCAAACTCTCTGAGCATAAAACGATATTATGGGAGTTTTTTTCTAGGGTGTATAGTCTAGTTCGCATTTTGTAATTATTTAACTTGTAGCACTCGATAAAAAAGTGTTTGTTGGAAAATGTTTGGTAATTTTGTAATGGCCAGTTTGTTTCAAGAGTATTCGGTACTGTGTTTGTATTTATTAAACTAAATCTTTTATTCAAAACGATACTTCTGCAGTGTGAATGTTTTATATTATTTATTGTTTCTGTAAAATTTCATGAAGCCTGCATGAAGTTGGCATTAGTCTCTCGATTAGTTTTCGAAAATCCTAAGAGAAGTTCATGAACTTTGTCAAGGCAAGTCAGATTCTCCCAAGGATGATTTTCTCATCCCGCCATTCATCTTAGAATCGTCTTATTGCTATTAATCTTCAGTGCTAAGCCTATACCGGCTTTCAGAAGTTAATTCCCGAAATAAAGGGGGAAAATGACTTTCTATCCTTCGTCAACTAGGAAGAGAGACCATAAGGCTAAATCACTGGTCCCAATTTCCATAACACAACCGCCTTGCATTTCACGGAGATCGTAGACAATGAACGCCGCAAACTGTATACGCTTACTTCTGATGAGGCAGAATTTACGCAAAAATTCAACTCTGCGCGGACGCGGTGAATACGCTTATGCAGGCATATACGATCATTTGCTTTGCATGCATTTGTTCCTTTCCAATAATAACACCATTCACACTCCAAAGCAGAATGTTCAAAACCTAACCTGTTGAAACTTCCGCTCAGAGGATATTTTTCTTTTCGAGAAAACAGTGACAAAACTATGCACAATTCTGATCAAGAAATACGATTTCGTCCCTAGCACTCTTTATTTCGAAAACATCAGTCAAATGACTGATCGTTGGAAATCACCTACATTTCTTGATTTCTTCTAAATGACAGCAAGCCAGAGGCAGTAACTTCACAGGGTGTTAGAACCAGTACGAAATTGAATCCAAGTAGCTTTTTGATAATAATTCGGGAGTTTTCTTTTGGGATAATTGCGATGGGCCTATATTCCTTTAAGTTATATGCCAACTGTCAAGCAGCTATAACACCGTGACAATTTCCAAAAAAGATTACCCACAAATAATTGTTCCAGGGAGAGTATTTAAAGATTGTCATTTGCGCTTTGTTTAATGGGGAAAAACAATTTGCGTCAGTTAGCTCTTTCACTGGGGCTCACATCCCCAAATTATGAAATTACTTTTTATTTTTAGCCTAACCAGTACCTGGAGTATATATCGTCGATTGGAGTTTTCTTTTATGAATTAGTTATCCGGGATGGGCCTCTATCCAGGAACCCAGCTAACAATCACGACAGGTGTCCCTTGTTCCATGCCATTGTTCAGATATTCAGCTACCTTCAGCCAAGTTGAAATAATAAATCTGCGTCAATTCAATTCAGCAAATAATCTAAGTGAAAGCCCGCTCCAAGAACCAGTACATGTACATCAGAATTGTGGCGGTCATCAGGGACGGTCCCGTACGTCGACTCAGGCATAATCATGTCTGCCCATGCGGCCAGGTACGTAGTTCGTGACAGCTCACTAACAATGAATACTCTATCTTCATCTCCCGGTACTTCTGACGAAACGCCGCGGAAATTACACCTGGGGGGAATTAAAGGAAAACTACCGATGACGTCATCACAGTAGTGGAGTCTATTCAAGCTTTAAGATCAAGTGTCGCAGACTCCAAGTGCATTCCGACTGTCGTAGATAATTTCAGTCCAAAGGACACTCGATTTTACTGCGGCAAATCGGAACTTGCTGCCGATCATTCTGCTGATAAATGTGACTATAATCGCAAGTTGTTGCGACTTGGAGTAGGACTTTCCGCTTCTATTAATGTGAATTGATTTTAGTTTTAGAAGTTGCGAAAAAAGACGAAAATTGTTATTTGTTGAATTGACTTTTGGTTAGATTTGTATTTTTGAAACAAGCAACAAAGTTTTGTATTTTGATTGTCACCTAAATCGTCACTGTACTTTCGAAATAGTATTCATGCAGAGCGTGTAGAAACAAACTTTCTTAGAGTTTAGGCACTCTCCTGAAGACGGTCAGAGCATACTGACCGGAACGTCGAGTTTATACCTCTGGTTCTTTTCAGAACCATTCTCTTAGTTGAGAATTATTCGCACATGGTGTTTCCGCAAACCTTTCATTATTCATTATGTGTAGAAACATCAACAAAAAATCTTTAAAAATGAAGAAAAACAATTTTGAGTTAGTTGGCAAGGTTAGCTCGGCGTACAAAAAAGACAGCTTGAAGAACATTGGCCTATGTTGAATATAATATGCGGTTTTTATTAATATACAAAATAGTCATGTACATGTAGTAGGCTTATTAAAAACAGTGGAAAATATATTTGGATGGTGCGTTAGAGAGGCATCCTGTTAGAAATAGTGAACAGGAAAATAACAGGAAATTATTTTTTACAGTTATGGAAAAAAAAACTCACCCAGCCTGCCTCCCATCAAATCTGAATATTGAGATTTCGTCATGTTGTGCAATACGAATGACAAGTGGTTTGTGTACTAAGCTCCGCCCCTGCAGTGACACGTCACAGGTAGACAACAGCGCACGCCTATAAAAAGTGATGAGTCATGAATAAATCATACAGAACACGCGTAGGCCCGTATTATTGTTTGCATTGAATAGCTTGATGCCAAGTGTTTGGGTGCAGTGAGCCGGTTGGAACCGCGTCTATTTCTGAACAATGCGCTAAATGTATTTAAAAGGCACTCTGTGAGTGACTGGGTTCAGTTCTCTCGTTCACCGAGTGAGGGTCGAGTCTAGGTCAGTTTAACGCGTACCGAACCGCATGCACCTGCAGTATCGTACTTGTATATCAATTACAGGCTGCGTAGCGTAAGATGTGAAGACTGCGTGCAAGTGTTAATGCAGTGGCGTATCTAACTGGGAGGGGGAGGGGGAAGTGAGGGTGGGGGTCGGAGGACCGCCCCAGGAAATGAAGGGCCAACAATTTTAAGTCGGTATAGCACCTCCTCCCACACAGTGACGGGGAAAAAAAACAGGCCTACATTTCAGGAGGAAAATCCCGTCATTTCCCACCTGGATACGCCACTTCGTTAATGTTTTTTTGAAAAGGTTATTTTTTTCCTTGGTGGTGTATGTGATGCTCATTTCCACTTGTTGACGTACGCATGCGCACCGTCTTATTAAGATTCTTATTTTCTTGATGTATTTCCTCAAACGTTCCCATGGACCAAAAAACCCCCAGCGCACATACTTTTAAAGCTTTCCCTTATGCAAGTACATTTTTTACCGATTCGTAAGTGTGACGTCATTTCAACTTAAACCACGCCCACACGGAGTAGCATTGGAACCATTGCAACCGGAAGGCGTGGCAGCCAATGGGCGCTAGGAATCAGTGGTGCGTGCGCTTGCCACTTACGAAGAAGATTGGACGCGATCCAGGGGGCTAGGGGAATACCCCTGGTCATGTCGCAACATTTCATTACTAAACAATCCCCTCTCTCCCCCAACGTGGAGAAATATTTAATTGCTGATTTCCATCTATGATATAAATCGAGAATTCCCCGTTTTGTGCGGCAAGGAGACATTTTAAAGAACATCTTTCTAGAACCTTCCACAATGCATTGTAACAAGAAACGTTTTGTAAACGTTGGACGAGACACGTAAACAGACAAATCAGCTGATGTCGATAATGATGACGTTGCAGTTTGGGAATTTTCCATTTTCCGTTTATAATCGCTTTTGACTGTGGTGAGTAACGAGATTGTGTGCCAAAGTGCAAAGTTCTAATCGTGTTTCATTGTTCTTTTTGTTTTTATCTGGTTTTTTTTTTTATACAGTAACAATCAAAGTCTACAAATACAGTGAACTACAACGTGGAACAGCGCAGCCGTATTTTGCAAGGGTGCCTCATCATTGAAGGGAATTTTTCTCGAGTGAACTCATTCAAAATGTCATCATCGACAACGAAGCTTCCGTCTGGTTCCCGCCGGAGCCTTCCGGCAGTCTCAGACGAGAATCAAGCGATCCGAGGAGCGGCGATTGTTTCAAGATACCTGCCTGGGTCTGGGGAGTTCGGTAATGAAGATGATGATGGGAAACAGCCGAATCTGAACCCTGGATTTCAAACGAGGAAAGCCGCCGCTTGTTTACAACCGCTACAGTCAAACGACATCGGACTTTACAGTAAGAAGTTTGTTTACATTTTAAGCCTACAGACATTTCCAAATAATGATGGTCAACTGCAAATTTCACGGTTTTGAGTTGCATTCAGGTTTAGGGGTCCCTACAGGGAACATTTCTGGTACATTCATTCTATGTGACGCTCAGAGGAAAAATGTAATATTTCAGTAATTGATCATGAGCCAGCGGTTATTCCACTATATAGTCTCGCGTGTGTGATATTTTGGTGGCGGTGTTACCCGGGTAGGGTTTCGCCGCACGGAATTAGCGGTGCGCTGTTATTCCATGTAGCTACACATAGAGTAACAGGAAAATGAGTTTCCATTTACAATAGAATATCATGTATACTCATAGCTTAACCACTATAAAATAACGGATCCGAGTGTTGCGCAATCAATTTTCTGGGTTGGTTATTAACACCCCTTTTATGCAGATCAGTCGCTTTTGTGATATTTTATTGTCATAAGGTACCCGGTACGCAATAAACGCAGTGTCACTTCAGGTGACCGTTGTCGCCAAGTCTGAGCAACGCGAGTCTGGATGTGAGATGCAGAGCCGATAAGGGGAGGATTCGAACCTCAGACCATTTAGATACGTGTAACTCATTGCTGTATGGTGTTCGGTTGTTTGGTGACTGCATTAGCGTTTTAAGGTTTATACTCAATTTAAATTTCTCGGTAATCGGGTTCATAACTGAAATATTTGTTATGATCGCATGCAATCGAGTTCACCACAGATCCGGTCACAAGTCAATGTGATCACAAGTAACGGAAGATGAACAATAACAAAGCAATACCCTTTGCCACAGTTAATTTGAATAGCATTGAGTTCACTGGATGACTTGTAAAAGACATGTGAGGACTTGATTTGCGATGGATGTGATTACAACATTGGTTGAAATCCATGTCTGTACAACACTTACGTGTGAAATAACTAGCGCTAAGCACAGTTGCGACACGCAGTCAAATGCGGTCAAAACCCCTACCCGCGCACCCCGCCCCGCCCCCTCCGGTTCCGCAACGCTCCAGATGTTTGCAAACCGTATAGATTCAATTTAGGACAGACTTTCTGCATTACAGCAACGCCATCTTGTGAACAGCTTGTGAAGATGTGACAGCCATAGAACTCGCCGCTTGTTCCCAAAGGTACCTTCCATGACCACTCGGGAACACCGTGTTATTCCAAATATCCATCGCGGCACCTTTCAGTCATTAGTTAAAATGTGTCCCATGCGCGCGCGCAATCAAAGTACTATTCACCAACGTCCCTTCATTGTCTCATCTGTTGTCCATTCTACAGGTTCATTCAGCAGGTCAATGAGTACCGAGTCAGAGAAGTCAGATAGTGACTTCGATCTGCATCCTTTGATCAAGGAGGAGTTGAGGAATAGCATCCAGAAGCGACGATGGCAGAGAGGAATGCTGGATTGGGCCCTGGAGGACTATGACAAGAAACGATATCGAGAGGACCAGGTATGGATGCATGAACCCCCCCCCCCCCCCCCGAGAAAATTGTGATGTAGCCGGGAAGGATTCAACGAGCCATCGGAGATGGTTGTCCAAATAGGAGGGCGTTATTTGGTTACCTTTAACACTTTCTTATTTACTCAAACCAACATAAGAGCCCTCCTCACAGAAGCCTAATGCATGATAAGGTGCGTGTGGGAAGATTAAAAAACTGGGAGGGGCAAACTTTTATTGAGACGGAGACGGACGATTGAGAATAGACCGTAATTCAGAAAAAAAATAATGGGGTGCTGAGACTGGTTTTCACAAAGTAAGGTATCGTTTAACAAGTCTTGCATCACAAGTCTGACATTGTTTTTGATTATTTTTAAACAGACTTTGCATTTTTATGTGTATTTGATGTGTTCTTTGTCCTGGTTTGCGATGACGAAAAACGTTCAATAATTATGAAATCATTATGGTCTGAGTCACGTCGCATCATACTATCCCACGCACAAGTCTTTTCTCTCAAATCTGTTGGTAGTGCGCCACCAATAGAGGACGCTTCCAGGGATATTGCACTCTTGCCATTGCAAATGTCATGTGCAAACTATTCAAGAAACACGTGTGTTTTCTTTGTTAATACATGTATCTGTTTTTTCCCCATTGTCTTTCATTGAACATCTTGCAGCTGACACCAGAGGAACTTGAGAAGAGAGAGGATCGGAAGATGAGAAACCGCGAAGCTGCGGCCAAATGTCGAGCTAAAAGACGCACGAGAATGGAAGAACTGGAACAGGTAGGGATATTATCGATACCTATCAACAACGCTCGCATGTTCCTATTGGATAAAATTTGCATAACTTGTGACAGAAGTTTACACTTCTGCGTGCGCACGAAAAATGTATTGACTGAATTTTAATTTGAACTTAATTTGAATTGTGGATTGCTTTTTTTAATGTTTTGTATTTGTAACTTTTTTGTATTTTTTTGTAAAACCAAATTATTTAAGTCTTTGACTATTTATTTGGTGGTGCTTTCTATCTCATAAACGAAACCAGAAATTGAATTGAAATTGAATTGATTATAGATTCTGTGGAAAGAGTTGGGATCAGGCAACAGAATCAAACAGGCTATCATAGCGCCCTCATTTTGGGTAAAATCTAAGAAAGAAATTCAAGGACTGGTCAGCATCAAACTCTCTGATAGGACTTGTCTTGACCTCATTGAATAAAACGAATGTATCTCCCTGCAACCATTTCCATTGGTGTATCTAAATATAAGAGCATGTTTTTAATAATTGTTTTGCCAACTTCGTTCTCTTGGGTTCGGTTATTGATATTCCACTGGCGATGTTGGTGATGATCAATAACATTTCACGGGAGAAATTAGTTATAAAATCCGTCCTCTGAGGTTTAAATGTCAGACATTTACATTCATTGTTTGTTACATGTTGCACTAAACACATTCAGGAGACAAAAAGAAATAGTAGACACAATAACAAAATTACTTTAAATTGTTAACAAGCGCTTTTTATTTTCGTCCTCAATAACAGTCAATGAATAGCCTTGAATCCAGACGTAATGAGTTGATGCAACAGAAGGAACAGCTACTCCAGGAAAAACAACAGTTGGAAAAGATGGTAGAAGATCACTTCCGGGTGTGTCATCGTAATAATGGGCTGAGAGGCACGTGATGACCTCGTGACGCGTCAACTGTCAATACACAACGGAAACGATGGACGATTTGATGGACAACAAACGCCACTGATGACGTCATTCTTATGGATGGATTAAAGCATATCCGCATGAGGGCGCTCTTCGCTTGAACTGGTGGATATTTTCAGCTAGCTGTCGGCTTTGCATGACGACGTTTTTTCCCAAGGGGAGATAGTGATAGCAATAAACGTGAACTTTCAACTTGCAGTGTCAGTAGACAACGCTTGGCTTGCTTTAGCATCCAGAAAACTACTCCTCTGTTTATATAGTTTCTCTGAAATATATATTAAATTTTGTCTCTTTTGTAAGTTAATATATAATAAGTGAAGCTTATATAAAGTTGCATATGAGTTGGTCAAACTTGCATTCCAACTTAGTATTTCAGGGCTACTTGTATGTGACTGAAGGTGAAATATGAAGATGGAAAAAAGATGGTGTTCATTATTGTATCAATTAAGGCTAGGAATTTTATAGTTTTTCTATTTCCGATTGAAGAAGTTTCGATTGAGGCGGATCTTCGTTTTCAAGTCTTTTTTGGAGGGGTAATTAAAAGTAAAAATACCCGAATCTTCATTTTCAAGTCTGTGTTTTTGGGTAAAGTAAAAAAAAAAAAAACAGAAAAAGACAAGAACAACTGGAAAAAATTCCATAAAAATATCGACCTTTCAAAGATTTGATTCTGTAATCTTTCAAATATCTGCAGAATGACCTTTTTTTTTTAATTCACTGAAAAAAGTGCCTGTAACACGAATTTAACATTAACATATAAGTACATTTTCTTATTTATTTTCACACTAACGAAAATATCGATCTATTTACTTCAACATGCGTTAAAAAATATCTTTGCGGGATGTATTAATATAATATTTTCATTCGATAGTTCTTTTTCTTGTTAACCTGTTTACTACGGTATTTATTTTATTTATTGCATTTTCTAAACAAAACTCAATTACTATATTTAAATATAATATCAAAGTAATGTTAAATGTGCATTGATGTTTGAAGTGTGACTTGCAAAGTTATTTTGTAATACAATGTGTTGTCTTATGAGGTTAAATCAGGAAAACCTCAATTTGCTTTGTCCCTAAAAAAATGAAACTGTCGAAGGTTTCAGGCTTAATATAATGGTTTCCCCAAAAAGGAAATGGAGCATTTAATTAATTAATTTATTTATTTTATTTCTTTCTGGTAATGAAACCAAGGATTCCTCAAAAGTACCTTTAAGCACTGTAGCTCGAAAGCCTGAAGAAACCTGTAGAGAGAAGACAATGAGAAGAAATTACAGTTTTAGAGATGGAAGGAAAAGCCACGAGATCAGGTAGGGACTGAAAACCCGATCCACATATTGGCCCAGGCGGGATTCGAACCCGGGTCACAGCGGTGGAAGGCGAGGAAAGTACCGCTACGCCAACATTACTCCAAGAATGTAAAGAAACAGACTAACGAGCTGCGATCGAGGACATTGAATGCCCTTGCCATAGTCAATACTACCATCCGCTTACAAATCGAAGGACAGAAGCCTGTCACTAGAGGTATAGTCGAATGACCAATCCCAAATTCGACCTAGGCCTAGGTCAATGTTAAGCTGTCCACTTTTATCAAATCGTATTCCGACAGAAACATATATTTGTACTGGTACTGGTAGGGGCTGTGATGAATTGACGCTCTCGTTTCCCTAAAAAAAGTAAAAAGGCAAAAGGAAGACCGGTCGCAGGGCTAAACTCAGTTGAAGGGAGCAACAAAATATATTTTCCTGAAACACCAGTGCTGCTTATAATTAATCTGGAAAGTTTCAGCAAAAACTTTCAAAAATGCAAGGATATGGAAAAGCATATAGAAAACTAACCCAGCATCTGAAGAACAGGGACATGGTCTCTATCTGGATAGTTGAAATCACTTCCCACAAGCTTCAGTTGACAGATGAATATATTGATGAATATGAGTATATTCCCTTATTTTTCCTTCTGTCTGTCCCGTCCGTTCGTCTGTCTTGTCTTGTCTCGTATGGCATCCCCAGCCATTAACCGCTTAATACCGAGATATGCCTCAATTTCACCATTGTTATGCATTTGTATTAAATATTGCTCACCTTATTATACACTTATTAATTATGCTATTATCTATATACTGTGGCTTGAGAATTGTGAAGTTGAAAAAATTGTGCAATGTGAAAAAGTTGCAAAGAGCACATGGCCTTTCGTCTTGTCAATAATGAGTGCCTCACCAACTCCCTCCAACCATGGCCAACCGACGCTGTGTTGCTTCCCTTGCAATTCATGTCACTCTTCACAGGAATTGAATTTGTTTCATCATTTATTGCGTCTATCGCTTTTTATTTCTCGTAACATTGCTTACATTTTTTGAACAACATACGTATTGATTACTTAATTACTTATTTACATTATATTACATTAATTAACATAAAATATTACAGATTCTGTTTCCAGAACTTTTGCTTTTATTCTGTAGTTTATCTCTCGATAAAGTTCTCGAATAAAAGTGTCGTATTGTCTTGATATGTCTTTAATCTTAATATAAATATGGAATACATTGCTATTGTTGTAATCAAATTTATTTCAAAATCGAAGTCAAAGCTAGTCACTGAATTAAACATTTTTAGCAATTTAAAACAGTGTTTTGTTATCGCTTGGTAATACTGAACAAATTCATTCCAAAATTGTAATGTATGTAGACATGTCACAAAACGATGATCGTAATCATCAATCTTGTTACATAAACAACACAACGGATTATTTACAATTTTCCATTTATATAATAAGTTTTTAGTTGGTAGTATACGGTGTAGAAATTTGTAATTAGAGTTTCTTAACTTAGATTCTTTTATATTCAATGTTACCAATAATTTGGCCATTGTTAATTATGGTACTTTGAAAATTTGTGTACACTGTTTGAATCAAGTTTAATCTTCAAAATTGAACTTTATAAGCGTTTTGAATAGAAAGTCCCAATCTACTGTGTCAAAAGCCTTTTCATAGTCAAAAAAGAGAGTTGCCGTATTTTATAGGAATTGAAATTTATCCATGCCTAAATCTCACACACTCACTTGTTGTACGAGACCTTTCACAGATCTCATATCACTTTCCTAGCCTCACTTCCCTTGTCAAGAGTCCGCTAAAAAGGACCATAGGTGCTTCCTACCTTTCTTGATTATTTACTTAAAAATGGGATTTCCCACGAACTTGTGGCTATTTCTTTTTCGGTTTTTAACCGGCTACTAAATCCTTGTACTTTTAACCCCCCCCCCTTTCAGAAACGATCGATCGCCATTGGCCCCTCCCTCTCCCTTTTGGTGCACCTGTAGCTCTCCCGTGTGGCTATTTATAGACGTTAATGACAGTCACTATTCCGATTATTTCCTGTACACACTACATGCGACTTTCTCATCGTTTTCCCGGCAATGTCCGGCGGTACGTTGTTCCTTATTTGTATTTCCCCTTCCTTCGTGGTAAGAAAGGCGGAAGGTGTCCTTCCCGCTCACATTCAGGTCCCTATTTATATCATTACCTTGTCATTTTCCCCACTTGATAGCCAAGATCCCCCTTTTCCAACGAAATGGATACTTCCCCACTCAGGCGATGATCATTTACAGAATTGTCACGAAGCCGAAAACTGTTGATTCTTTTCATTCAAAAGAAGTAAACAGAGAAAGTGTATGTATGTGTCATGGTTTATAATACAAATGAAACTACAGAGAGGTTCGTGAAGATGTACATCAAGACTGAGGGCATTCTTCCATTCGTTTCAACTGTGCAACCCTCTTCATGAGTTTCAAGAGACGAAAGGATCCAAATAATTGCTCCGTTTTTAAACGAAAACACATTCAAATTCACATTGGTCAATATGCCGAAATTCCCAGGTCTGTATAGATAAATCAATTATCTAGCTGGAAAAATACCTCAGATCATGTCTCGCTTTAAGAGGCATAATCATTCGTGTTTATCCCGAAAGAAACCTCCTGAATTCTGACCCAAAGGCTTACTTGTATTTAAGATCGTATACTGATACTTTTTCTCTGGCTTGCTGTCATTCAAAAGAAATCAATAAAAATGCAAGTGATTTCCAACAATTTGCTAATAGACAATTTTTTGAAATAAAGAGTGCTGTCGACAATCAAAAGGTTGTGCATGGTTTTTCACTGTTTTCTCAAGAAGTGTCATATCCAGTCCACTCAGCTGAAACATCAACAGGTTGGAGTTGGAACATTCTTGTTTGCATGGGCGTAAATCTCGGGGTATGGGAGAATTAGCCCCTTACTTTTTGACCTTGAGTGTGCATTTGGATAATTCCCCTCTAAATTTTAAAACGGTACCTTTGAAATAGATCTACATTATCCAGTCAACTTAAATATTGTTATAATGGCGAATAAAACTGATAAATAAAGGTGTGTATGAAAGACATAAAAGTTCAACAAGGGAAGACTTGAGTGGTCTAAGAGCAAGAAACATTGCTGTCGATGATTTCAGTGGCATCGACCTAACTATAGCTTCCACTCTGTGAGTAAGGAAAGAGTTCAGAAACGTGCCCTCAGAATTATTTTGGGTTCTAGTTACACGTCATATCAAGAGGCTCTTAACAAAATGCATTTATGCACCCTTCATCAACTTAGGAAAGACATATGGCTCAAATTTGCCACTGAATTAAGAAAATCTGTCAGTTTCAAAGATTGGCTTCCTAAACAGCGGGGCGATCAGGTGCAATATAACTTGAGAGACAGCCAACAGATCTCTAGAGTGAAGTGTAAGACCAACAGATATGCAAACAGTACTATTCCTTATTTAATTGGCCTCTTAAATGCAAAATAATTTGGTCAATAAGACATCTATGCCTGCTCACCATCAATAGTAATAGTAACAGTGCGGCATGTACATGTATCTCAGAGTTTTTAGCTTAATGTTTTTAAGTGTAGTAAGTAATGTTTTTAATTAATGTAGTAAGTATCCACATTTTTAAAAATTTTTATTAGGGGGGGGGGGGCCTGTGTTTTCAACGTATTGGTGTGTGCATACATATTTTGGGGGGCTGGTTCTGGTAATTGATACATTTGTTGTTAAATGTTGTCTTGTTTTCAAAGCAGGAACCACCTACACTAATTAGTCATACATGTATTCCAAAGTGCAATTTCGGTTATTGTTTTTATTAAGTTGTATTTGAGCAACCATTCACTTTTCTAAGGGGGTGTTTCTTTTAGATATATACTTCTGGTCGAGTTTTGATATTGTGTAGCGTTGTTTGCTCTGTATTTTTCTTAATATATTTTATTGTTGTAAGTAACTTGTGGTGTCTTGTGTATGTGTATAACATGTTTATTTTTATGAGGAAGTATTTCAATTTTATTATGGAATTTTACCCTGTCTTTTAATGTTTATATGTTGTTTTTTATTGTAATAATTGATGCAATTTAGCCATTGGCTACAAGTTCAATTTCAATAAACCAACAACAATAATAATAATAAGCAATATGGAACCGTAGTTGGTTCAGTAACAGCTAAGAAGAATGGACAGGAAGTCCCTATGCCCCTCTCCTCTCAGGTAAAAAATACTCCATAGCCTATAGTAGATACGAATGGAATAGGTAATCGTCATATTGGGTATAACAATCACATGCCCGTCATTTCCTGCCGTCAACTTTCAATTTCCACCGCCATAATACCGAGGCAACTAGTACAATTCATCGAAATCGCGAGTGAAACCTTTTTTCTTTTGTTCGGCTTTAATTCTTTTCGTGTTTGAAGTTTGAGCGCGTGTGTAGAATATAGCCGTACGATCCATCATGATACAAAAAAATAAGTGTGTATATAGGCACGAACAGTCACCCACTCAATGTGGAACCGCTCGCTGTTAAAACTCTACGATTTTTTTCACAAATACCCTTTCGTTCCCGGAAACTTATTCAATGTCTTTTTCAAACGTTAGTTCATATCTATGGCGAGTAAACAATGTCACGTGACTATGCCTAGAGTTCAGTAGTGCATGAGGTAAACACACAAGAATGTTATTGATAGCAGTCAGTTATTGAAACAGCTTTCATTCGAGTTCAGGGATTTCAGAAAGACGGTTTTTGAAGTTTGAGCGAATTTTCTATCCAGTTTAGCCTCTGATTCCAAGTTGAAGCAAACTTTAATGAAATGCGAACACTCTAAACCTAACCAGCAGCAAGTTGAGGCTGTTGAATTTCACCTATCAAGGTAAGGCATGCGAGTTATTCCAAATTAGGTTCAGGTACAATACTAAATATTATGCTACACCATTGCAGGTGGATTATTGTGCACTTCGGGGTTAAAGATAAAATAATCAAGAAATTGTGCCATTTCTCCTCTTTCTTACAGTTTCAGTAATCAAACCGACTAGCATTTACCTTGGCAAAAACCAACATTGAATTAAGAAACAGTGCCTGATCAACGTGAAAAGCACGATTAAACCTGGGGGATGGGTATTAGAATTAAATGATTTAACTTCACAAATCCAATCACATTTGCATGTCATCATTGCGTTGGTTTTGCCGAAAGGGAGGGGGGGTGTCATCTGCCTACTGTCAGTAATGGTCGATTGACAAAAAGCTCAGTGGAACATTTGCATTCTGCTTGTTTTTAAGCTACAATACTATGTTCGCACAAAAGCAAGTTGGATGGATAGGCAATAAACATCATTGAGCGCTAGAGGAGCTCTCATATCGGCAGCCTGTACCACCAAAATCGGGGGGAAAAGGTGTGAGCTTAATATGCTGCAATGTTTACAGAAATTTATATGAACCAGACAGACAAAGCAATGTCTTTTGGGGGGCTTTGTATGTTATACTGTGTCAAGGTTTGCAATGTGTCCAACATGTCATTTAATTAAACATTCCTTAATTCAGTCAAATTTACACAATATAACAAATGTTATTTAATTTATATAATTCACCTTACTCGTTTTAACTTGGTCCGCACAAGCTCGGTTATTCGAAAACGATCACAACGATTACATTGTGTCTCTTAAATAATCCATTGGAACCAAATATTTATATTCCTTTTTTTAGCAATGAAATACCATCTTGAGGATTTTGGACTATTCATAAAATTTGCACCCGAAATTAAATGAATCATTTTATTCCACTTTGTATAATGAAATAGGGAATTTCAACTTGCCTTTCGACCACACAAATATGTAGTTGTGATTCGTCAACTTTGTGTGATTCGGCACATAGGCTCGTGATACGGAAACGGGGCTAGAAAATTGAAATCAATAATAGACATAGGGCCTGCAAAGCGGAAACAAACTTGGAAATAATTGTCGCACTAAAAGTTCCGGAAACACAGGTGCGCACATAGGCCGCGCCTCTGGTCACATCACATGTCATGGTCAACTTTTAATATCAGACGCTGCAAAATGGTGCGTCACTTCGTATCGTACCATTTTTTTAAATAAAAAAGACACTTTTGCAGAGTCATCGATGTTGCGCCCCAATCCTCACAATTATGACGAGATCCTAAATCCATTTCAAAAACATTTAATATGCGATTAATTTATCAAATAACATTAATTAATATGTTTATAATCCGTAATCAGCGTCAGTTTCGGAAGGCTTGATTTGATTTATTCATTATACTTTTTTCTCTTATTATTATTTTTGGCGAAAGGGATATTTAGAAAGCTTTTACTATTTTCATTTATAATCTGATTACTTTGTCTTTTAACACATCAAGAATTCTTTGTATTCATATATTATTTGTCATATGCTTTATGGGAATTACAAATCATCTTTTTATAGCATTCATAATAAACCACAACATACAGAGGTGAGTCATAAAAAGCGGAACTCAACCCCCCCCCCCCAAAAAAAATATATATATATTTCATATTAAAAAAAGAATAGCACCAAACATAATAATGACTGGCAAGCCAATTTTGTAAACTACTTGTAGATGAAAAAAAAAATCCTGAAATTGCTCAATCCGTTCAAAGAATCTCCCCATTTAAACAATGATCCTAAAATCCGGGTTTTTTTTACTCACCCTGTAGGGGCCTGATTGTAGCTGCTTCGCTTTTATTATCCTGGTATTTTGTATCGTCTAACAAATTTCGTTTATTGGAAACTATTCCACAGTTTCTTTATTGTGGCTGTGCAGAAAACACAAGAATACTCTGGTTCCTTACCATTTTGGATTGGTCACTTGTCCTCTCGTTATAGCCGCTCAGCCCAGTCGCTTCTCAACCCTTATTTCAACTTGAACAGTAAACTTTTACGGGAATCAAGGATAACTTGAAAACCACTTCATTTTGCATGAATACTTTTACGTTCCCTCATGCACAATAACTAACCAAAGACAGCAGGGACTAATTATAGTTCCAAATTCAGACCCATTTCATTTTCATTTGCAAACTGTAACTCCAAACATTTCAACGCTCAAAGTTTTCCAACAACCATACAAGGAATTAAACACAATTTACCAAAGGTTACTTCCTTCCCCTGTGCGGCCCTCGAACTATTAAGTGGGAATTCCTTGTCATATAGGGAAATCACTTTGCAAAATTACAACGATTGGAGTCACCAGAATGCGGTCGTCTTTTGTATATAACAAACGTGGAGTGAGGTATTAAAATACGGAGCCTTGGTGCCGAAACAACTCCTTTTTATGCTGCTTTTCACAAGTATTCATGAAAAAAACACAAAGGTGTCTAAACCAAGTTCCATAATGGTCGTTGTGAAGTGTTTGGTTCAGCGATTCGGGGTGAGCGGGTAGTCAACTTTTACAAAAACTTCAAAGTAAAACCAACTCAACAACCCGACCAGGACTTGCTTGAAATCCTGTTGAAACTTGGTGACAGCAGTGGGTGACAGAGCGCTTGATCATCTGTTTCATTCCTGATTTCTTCCCTTGTTTGTTTCTATGTAAACAGTCGGACTGAACCAGCAGATTCATTCGCAGTTTTTAAATTTCATCTTGCGTACCTGTGCTATATTGACTGGAGATTTTCAGCGCGGGGACTATGCTGTCAGTTTTCGCATTGACGGCTGCGAGACAACCAACAGGTGGTTACGGGTTAAAGATGACCGAGGATAGACGCGCTATCACGGGGGAGAAAGCTGCTACTGATCGCGAGGACAAAATCCACTACACGGAGTTTGGAGAGGGAGATGATATCCAAGGGGATACGGGAGATGATCGGAGGGAAATAGGGCCACTTGACGGTCAGGATGGAGGGGGAAGCGAAGGGGATGAAGCTGGGTCTAGTAACACAGTAAGTACGCTGTCATCTTTGATTTTACCTTTCCGAGTTATTGCTGAACATGCGAGGCGAAGTGATATGGTTTTATTAAGTTTATTATTTTATTTCTGTTAATGAAACCAGGGTTTCCTCAAAAGCACCCATAGCATGCACTGTAGTTCGCACTTCTGCAGAAACCCACGACGAAATGCATAGTTTCTTAAGGTGGGAAGAAAGCCCTAGAAGAATAGTCGGGGGCAAACCCATGGAATCAGACATAAACCCAGTCTACACGTTGTCTGGAATTGAGAATTGGGAATTGAGATGGCAAGCAATGGATGTACCACTATGTTAACCTGACTCCCCTTCAGTGGTGCACCCAGAATTTGGCGGGGGGGGGACTCACAATTTTAGTTTTTCAATTTTTCTAGAAGTTCAATTTTTGTTGTTAAATGTTGCCCAAAATTTTTGGCCGCAGAAAAAAAGGTTTTTTTCGGGGGCGGACTATTTTTGACGTTGGTGGGGCCACTTACACCCCTATTATACTACTCCAATATAGGCCGCATAAATATCAACAAGGTCAAATCTTTGGACTAAAAAAAAAAATTACCCCAAATTTTTTTTTAAAAATGACAACCTATTGGGGGGGGGTCCCCCCCCCTTGGGTGCGCCACTGCTCCCCTTGCTTGTGGATTCACATTTCACATTCTTAGAGAGGTTTTGTTCCGTTTTATGGCACAGTAAATGTTATTTAATAGATCAAAGACAAATGCATGTCATTGTTCTATAGGCCTAACTGTACTTTTCTGAATATGTTTACACTTCATGCAATCGATTGCAATCCTGCCATTATTGTATGTGGATTAACAATAAACCATCAACCGCAAAGTAAATACAATTTTAATATGAACCTGATAAGCCATAGCACACACGTTCAGAAATTTCGTTCAGAATTATGTTTCAAATTTAAAGACAACATTCATTACATAGCCAGGATGACATGATGTTGGCACCGTAACATATCAGACTCACCTACCGTGATCCAAAGCGCACGACGGTTGCTTTTCTTCAGTCGGAAGGGTCTGCGACTCTGCGTCCTTAGAACGTTTTAACCTAAACACTGCAAGAATTCAATACGTACTGTTTCTTTGAAGACCTATTCCTTCTTTAAATTGTTTTTTTTTCCCGCAAGATTCTCAGGCTTATACATGAGTTGCCTATTGTATGCAGTTACTTTGATTTAATTCATTTCTGTGTTATTTCCTCAACATTTTTCTTGTTCTCTTTTTTTTTTTTCAACGATACTTTACTCTTCGTAAAGCTTGAAAAATTTACCATCTCTATCCAAAACGTTAGCAAGAAAAAGAGCAAATATATCGAACGTGCCTCGATATCAAGAAATCCCTTTATTTGATTAAAAAAACCTCTTGCTTTACTTGTACAACTCTTATTCGTTTATTCCATCTTCTTTGATTTTACTTCTTATTTGCTGGTTTTATGAAACTTGATATTTTGCGGTGTATTCGCCCCTCCACGCTTTGCATTATGAAGGTCTTCTTGCCTTGTAAAATGTGTCTTAACTTACAATAAGAAGTAGAGATATGGTTTTCAAGCGGAGGATCCTAAGTTTTTAGTCAAAATTAAAAGAGCAACGCAAAAAAAGATCATTCGATAAACTGTTTAAAACCAGAGAAAATCCAATAACGAACTAAGTTGACATGCTGATATTGATGAGAGTAATTAGTGAGCATGGAATCCATTTTGGGGACTTTTATTAATGATGTTTTCTTTAATATTTCTGTCCTTTTCTTTGAAGTTGTCCCCAGACGATGAGATGCGAATCCAGCAACGTAGAGAGCGAAACCGTTTGGCCGCTGCACGGTGCAGGGACAGGCGGAGGCAGCGGGCTGCTGGACTGGTTCAGGTCGGTATGAGACAACATTCATCCACCTCGGTTTAAAATCCTGTAATTGATTGATCGAGCATTTATGGCAGGTGTTAAAAAATGTCTGGGAAATCTTGCAAGAAGTCTTTTTAGTTTTTGCTCGTCTACTTTAAATCAATATTATGATTTTCGGTATGTTTTAAAGCTATTATTATCTCAATATACAGTTCTAATGTCCCCACGGCTACATTATTATTAGAAAGTTCTCTTTTTTTCGTCTGACAGTCCACATTGTAAACATAAGCTCAGTACAGTGGAATTCGTTCAATGTTAACAAAACCAGAAATCTTTAAATATTTAATGGGAAAATGTTTTTAATTATATTTCAAATGGTTTAAATGTAAACTTCATAAATTTATCAATGACTTGCATGCGGGGTGTGGAAACGAAGTGGAAAAGCTCGAAACTACTCTCATACAAACATTATAGCTTAGAATACTACACTATGAAATATTTGAAAGTTTACATGTAAATGTCCAAATCTCCATAAATAGACGCAACTAATACTCAATTTAAGCACATTGTAAATGCATTGTACAAAATACCGGCTTTGGGAAGAAATCCAGTTTGTCTTAAGCTATGATTTGAAACATTTCGGCACTGTGAATTGGAAATTTCGTTGACCAAATTTTGTTTAGAAATAGCGTGAAATGTGGTAATTTAAAAGAAAGTACATATTTTAAAGTGTATTATGTCCATGCATAGTAATTGTTGCAATGCTTCTGATGGCTGAACATCTGAATTTTTTTTAAGCACAAAATTGTTTCAGAAAACCAGAATATTGAACTTGAATGGGGCTGTGTTATCATAATTATGTTGCTTAGGTTGGACATTTTCATAAAGTATGCGCTAAGTAAAGCTTTATTCCTATTATCGCTTCTCCATTTCACGAACACCGGGGGTAGTTCTATGTCAGACAACCCATTTGAATTACAGACAGATCTTGTATACCGGTACCGAATCTGCGATCAAGATTTCCTCTGTCCATAAAAACTGTGCTCCGTTAACGACAAACCGTGTCATTTTTAGTCTTTGAATGGCGGTCGGTTTAATACCATGTTCTATTGTCACTGTCCTGGGGGAGTGCCAGGTTTGGCCTTGGAACTCCCCTTATTTCGGAACTTCATGATCACCTGACGACTTATCAAAGAATTTGACCGCTGTCAGGTTAACCCGTACCCGGACCCCGGATAAATGCCCGGAATTTCCCCCTTGACGTTTATCCTCATGACAAGGAAATCGTGCTGCTGAAGTGGACCGAGATAGGCATGTCACTGTGGGAAATAGGTTGTGTTTGTACACAATGAAGGAATAAAACAAATTCAGGCGAACTTTGTTCTCCAGGAACTAATTTATAATAAATTGAAGTTGGGATAATAAGAATGGTTGACACTGACTCACAATCATACTGCCTTGCTTTATAGGCAACGAGTGAAGGAAAAGTGTGTTTTGGTTTTGAACAATAAGTTACGATAAAATTCAATTCATGAGTCTTTATTAAAACTTTGAAGGGAAATTTATTGTCCCAATTTAAAAACAATAAAGTATACATGAATTAACATATTGAATTTACAAATCATATTACTTTTCCTTTCAATTTTTCTTTAGTAAAATATGTTTTTTCCTAAGCCTACTCACTCATATAATAAACAATAACTTTCCTCTGATAGGAATCCGATAATCTTGAGGGCCAGAATGATAAATTGATGGAAGACATCGCTCAGTTGGAAAAGGAGAAGCGAAAACTGGAAGAAACACTCAGACATCACTTGCCGAAGTGTGCGCTTCAAAGACGACCCCCACCCACCCAACAACGACACAATCCACCACTACATCAAGTTGATGATCAGCAACAATTGCCATCCCATCGACACGCTCATCAACATCAGCCTTATTCACAACAATATCAGCAACATCAACTACTTCAACAACAGCAGATCAGTCAGGTTCACTGCCATCCACAACCACACTGTCAACTTCATCAGCAATCCCATTGTCAACCAAATCAACGATATGACTCTCAATATCAACAACATCAACTACAAAGCCATCAACAAGCGCTGCCATTGAACCAGAGGTCTGTGGAGGGCCAACCGTCAACATATCCACTAGTTTCAAACCAGTTTTGTTAAGAACTACACGCTTATCATTTTCAACGAATCACATTTAGTCTCTTATTTCCAAATTGTAATAATTCACTCTGTTCGAGAGAAAATTATGGAACTGAGGAACAGTATTTCCATCAAAAAGATCGAGTTACTAGAATTTCCACTGAAGTGATTGTTTTTCGAGCTTTTTCGATCTAAAACTAGAGTTTTTCTTCAAAATTTCTAGTAGGATAGATTCATTCTTTGGAAGTTAAAAGTGAACGAAAACTCTTCTCGATATTGCCCACCGTATATAAATATGGCTTATTTTCAAAATGGCAAGTTGTGCTGAAAATTAATCATATAGCCTATGGGGATTAATCTAAAGTTGCATGCCCGTGCTCTTAAAAATAAGAATGGATTTCTCTTTCTCCTAACGATTTTTCAATTTGTATGTTTTGTTCTAACGAAACTTTATTCAGATTGCAAGCGGCTGCAGCCCTCTAACCATGGTTTCATTTTGCCCACAACCGTAACCCGCCCCGCGAGAGCCGACATATTCTCTGGCAGCCAATAATACATTTTTTAAGAATTAATTCATCACTAAACTTCGGTCGATTTTTTTTCGTTCGATGTCTCATTATATTGTAAGGAAAAAAACAATCATACAACAAATCTATTTTTCAAGGTGAAACTTGCAAATGGCACGGGAACACATCTTTAACGATCGACTTGAAAATTGATTTGTAGACCTGTCCTATTGACGGAACTCCGCCATTTGTCTAGACATTAGAATAGAATTGATTTCATATACGAATTGCATAATTTGTATGAAAAAACAAGTTTGTTTGCATTCCATTGTGTACACAAAGGACCATGCTTCCCTTTTGTTCTTCTGAAGACTTCTGTTGATAGTATTTATAACTTTTTGATTTTCAAGATGCATACACGGTTTTCCATTGAGGATTGCTCATATAATACTTGATGACGTGTTGTCCATTTTACGCAATTTATTTTGTTCTGAGTCCTGGCCTCGAGTTTAGCTAAAAACTAAGCTAAAACTGGTTCCATCTTAATGTCCATAGATATTGCCAACGAGGTATGAAAACAAAACACCTAGTTACTTCTGTAATCTAGGGATTACCCAGTTCTAAAATAAACCAAAGAATAAGCAAAAACCCCACATTCCACTAAATCTAGAATGTGGAGCAAGCCTTTGCGGATGTGGGTTGGTTTTAAATTTGGAAGTGCTCTGTGTATTTCCGACAGGTATTATCAATTGTAAAGAATGTCGGGTTGAATTAAAACAGAAAGTATTACAGATTTGAATACTTTCCTCTTCGGAACATCCTATTAAGAATTGGAATGTTGAAGAGGAAGCGTACATTTCTATTTAAAGAACACCAGCCGGAACAATTAATCTATGTTTTAAAATTTCCTCAAATGCACTTTTCCTTTTTTTCTCGAATTCCTTGGTGTGAAACCAAAACAAATATCATTTTAATTGAAAACTCTAAATTATGAAAGCCAGTGGGCCTATACGCAAATTATTCCCAGCTTGTATAACTTTGGAATAAGTATATCAGGTGTATTAAGCATTATGTCACAATATTGTGTATGAATATTATGTATAGAAAGATAAAATGAATAAATATATCTCTATTCCACCTTTAATACAGTAATGCTGTTATTATATAGTTTGTGCCTTTGCGCGCCTGGTGTGAAGAATTGTCAGTTATACAAAAAAAATGGATCTTTTCGTAAAAAATATAGAGAGCACTTTACTAAAGTGTGTATCATCAGTGCTGCAACTGCAAGAAATCTAAAAGTGCGTGCAAGGCATGGACTGAATCTATGAGCTAGTGAATGCACTTAAATATTTGATAATAATTAAGATTAAGTGGACAGCTAAAAGTGACCAATGTAGAATTTGGGGTGGGAGTTTGAGCCCCCCCCCGCCCCAGACCACAACGTACGCCACTCCCACTTCGATTCCAGGTGCTCGAGATGGACTGTGATAATATGCGTTTGGTCGATTCAAGACCGCTCAAATGATAATTTTAGGTGTTTCATATTTTATAGCGCAGAGTAAAATTGAAAACCAGAGGAACAAATTTTTTTTACCGCAATTGACGGTGTTTTGAAATTTGTCAAAGATTACCTATTACAGTACTGTTCAGACATCATGCACTGTACGGTTAATTCCCAAAATTCATCCCAACTTTTCATTGGCTGTATAGACATTATTATTGGCTAAATTGGCCGTATAATCTCACATTTTTTTTTGGATTATTTCTATTTCTACGTTCCTTTGGGGGAGGGGGATAGGGGTGTAATTAATGCTTCACCCAAAGTCCTCCATGCATGTTTAAACATTAATTGTAGAACAATCATGAACACGGTCAACTATGAAATTAGTTTCATTTGAAAAATTACAATATCCTTGGTTGATGCCTTACTCCCATGACTATTGAGATCTAGAAGATAGAGGGGCGGGAGGGGGTTAACGTCTTCCCCCACCCTTCCCCTTCTGCGAGAATACTCCGAGTATCCCTCGTAGTTCAGCTAGTAACCCGTTCTTACTATGGATCGCTCGCAGGTAGGCACCGGACACGGGGCCTGAATCTTGTGGGCTCGGATGAGATTGTTTGGATTGCGGTTTTCTGGTGACCAGATAATTCCAGGGCAGCGGGAATCTCCACAGGATATTAGAAACAAGAATTCGGTTTCCTTCTCAACTTTTCGTTTCACATGAAAGGTACATATCAATACCAAATGAAAAGCTACCAAAGGGAGCACAGATCAATTCCTTTGACTTATGGTTGTCCATTTAATAAACGTTACCTTTCAAGCCGAGTGGCCGATGAAGCACCTGCAATTCAATGCGATTATGTACGATTCGCCTTTACCCACAAACCAAAATAATTAATATCTAAATTAATCTTGTACCGCTGAAGCAGGTCTTAAGATCGAAACGTCAGGCCAGCTAATTTGGTTGATTTGTATAATCCAGTCAGTATGCAGTTTGCAGCAGTTTAATTCATTTTCATAATTTAAAATAAATAACTTATGCAAAATATAATAAACATTATTTAAGTTACTTCAGTAACTACTCCCTTAGTTTAAAAGGTCCATGGAATGAATGCTTCTTATGAACACATTTTGTGAAACTTTCTACTCCTGTTAATGATGTATGAAAACTACCTGACATCCTTTTTAAATTAATTTTATTGAAAAGTGCACTTCTTTAAACCTTTAATATTTTCCATCCTTTTCCTGACAACTGAGGGTGTTGTTGCTGTAATGTCATTCCAGGAAGACACTGTTCAGTTTAGGGTATTTTGTTAAAAAAATGTGCACATTGGAAACATTTGAGAAAAGTTTGCTCATTGCTTAATGCCATGTACTCGTATACTACAACGAATCACCAAAGAAAAAAATTTCACGACTGCAAAATATCCCACATTCTGGTAACGTTTGGTGCTGAAGTAGCTGCAACATAGAGGCTTCTACCTGAAATGACAGCACACGTTTGCTCATGAAAATGGAAATTTGCTTTAGCATCAGAACCAAAAAGGCACCAAACTACCCTTCAAAATGGTAAAACGAAAATTGAAAATATAGTTAAGTGGGACACACAGGTGCAGTTTCAGGGATTGTATTGTAAATATCACATTGCATTGGTCCTTTAACAGTTCTGTCTCCCTTTAACAGTTCTTCTGAAACGGTAAAACAGTTTAGGTCAATTGACCACCGAAAATCGATCTTTTTAAAATCAGATACGAAACCAGCTTTTGCAAACAATATCACTTGGACTTCTTGGTAAATTCCAAAACTATTCATTTGTTTAAAATTTCAGTATTTAATCCGACTATTTGGAAACTAAAGCTTTGAATTATCCCTGCACGAAAAATTTAACCAACGTTTGGGAAAAATTATGAAATTGAAAATAACTTTTTATTTTGTGTTTTGTGTTGACGAAACCTTCTCGAGTTTAGTTTATGACTTTCGTAAACAAAAACCAAAGTACCAGAGAACATGTAAACTACATGAAGTTTTAGTTATGGGACATACATGTATAAAGACAAAGAAAATGTGCTCTAATTTCCACGACCGCAGATAGCAATTATCACACACGTAAAAAAGACTGATGATGTATCAAAATTATCTTTTTATTCAGATTTTGAGTGTGGGTATTTGTGTATGTGGTTGGGGAGTGGGGTGGGTTGGGGAATATGCATGGCGATCAATGTTCTTGTATGTAGCGTACAGTACAGGTGAATGAATATTCACAGCAAAACTCAGAACTGCAAGTTGAAACAATGCAACTTCTAGCTACTTAAAAAAAGGTTGGGCGACTTTACTTGAGCCATTCTTTGAATGCTTCATAAATCCTCACATAACTAGACAATGTCTCCCAGGCCAGCAGGACATTTCACTTTTAAAAAGGCAAGGCTGTTTGCCTTTGACAAGGGGGGACAAGAGGACAAGAAAACTATTGTACATTAGGGAACATTGCATGGAGGTACCAAGGCAAACACAGGGGAAGTATAGGACTTCACCTCAATAATGTGCTCATGTTTTCCATTTTGAAATTCAACAGGTGTATTAGGTAATGGAGTCTGAAGCGGACTGCACAAGCTCAGGCGGTGTACTTTACAACCTATTTACATATAAACATGTTGCACATCTCAGCCCTGTGTTCTGTAATGTACAATCCATCCGTGTGCATTGACATCAAGTCTGAGTTGTCATCCAAAGTTGTCATCAAGGATGACTTGTCATCCAAAGAATGAGATTTTACTCAAAGTTCGCGGCAGACTTTCCTTGTTGACAGGAGATAGCATTTGACAACAATTTGCTGAATGGCTTCAGTTTTGAGACAAGTCTAAAGAACTGGTTTCTCCTTGTTTTGTCAGACTTCATCCTCATTAAGCAGCATGTTGGGGATTCCATTTTTGATGGGGAACTTGCGGCCGGATTCGGGGCATACCAAGAAGCCATCTAACACTTCCACCTGTTACAAAGAGAACAAGATCCAATAAAATCAGTCCAGATGAAGCTTATTCTGTAGCCAGTAATATCTTAAAGGCATACATGTACATATAGGATCAATAATCCTAAGTAACCTACCAAATTATGATCAAAACTTTTACTTGAATTAAATATCATATTGGTACTAAACACCCCGTGAAATTATTCCGTCTGGTTTGCTGTCATTTAGAAGAAATCAAGAAATGTAGGTGATTTCCAACGATCTGTCAAATGACCGATCGTTGGAAATAATGATTTATATATGCAAAATCGTATGATTTTGCTTACATTTTGAATATCCTTTAGATTTTGAGTGGTGTCGTAATTTGAAACTAATAAAATGCATGAAAAGCATATGATCCTATTAGAAAACAAAAGAATGTATGCTGAGGTATGGCAAAAGAAATTTCACAACCTAAAATATTCTTCAACAGTGACAGTTTCAAAAACAACAGCAAGTAAGATAACCTGATGATGTAAGTTTCATTACTTCATTTGGTTAGCTAACCATCAAGATAGATTTGCTAGGAAAGATCACAACCCCTTCAAAATCTAACACAGAGCAGACAGGAAATCAGTGGCTTTATACTCTTGGCACTTGGAATAAATTAATTTAAAGGTGGAGGACTACTTTCAAGAAATAAAATTCTGTGATGGACAGTGAATACTAGTTCAACTACTTTTGTACTGTAAATTTGAATTTAAAACTTAAATTTGTAAATAAGGAGATTTACAAATTGATATAATATAGTACATTCAGACCGTATGCAGAGTCAAAATGAACTGTATATCAATAAGCTGGTTTTTCGTCTCAACTATTTTGCATAAATATAATTCTTTAAATTTTGGCCTTTTATTAAGCACCGTCGATATATGGATATTACTAAATTATTTGATGATATTTTGATATCGATATCGATGATAGCCATTTTTCAATATTGAAATATCAAAATTTTCAATCTTGAGGGATATTATTAAAAATGTAGAAAATGCGTCAGATTATCGTCAAAATAAATCTCCAGTTTGTACTTTTACTTTGTGTTAACGTTTGCTGCATAATGAAATAAAACTAGGCGACAACTTGTGCATGTGACTGAAAATAAAAACATTGGGAAATGCCAAGCTGCGTCGCTTTGTGCTCTACGTTCGCTGGAATTCACGGTCTCCCCAATGTAAAACCTCAAAAGAAATCACCCCTTCTGGACAAACTGTCAATGTTAAAATTTGTTTTAAAAAGTTTGAGCAATACGCTCCAGAGAAAGCTGTGGAAAACAGGGACTTAACATTAGGTATTTTTCTTTAATCAAAGTGTCATCTTTATGGTCTTTAACTTTTACGTGGGATAAAATTATTGAAAATTCTAATATCGACGGTGCTTTACTTCGATTCAGTTTTATTGCAAACTTCCGCCACTTGCCTTTAGGCTTTGGTGGTGGTTTTCACTTAATAAACCAGATTGAATAAATGAATTAATTAATTAATGAAAAGATAAATTCAGACAATGAACCCCAATAACCAGTATTTTCACCTCCAGCATGACTCTGTGTGCAGCTTTCAGGAATTCTTCATTTGTTTCATAGTCTGTCACTGGCTCAGTAGGAAGGTTGCCTACCACATCCAGCTGAAAAAAGTAGGATTGTTCCACCTGTTTACTTACTGGGTATATTAATTATTATGTGAAATATTAACTTGTCACTTCATATTATAATAATGTGTTGCTTAATAACGTTTTATAGCAAAGTCTTTAGCCTTTCAAAATTATAATCCCATGAGACCATTTCTTCTACATTGACTCAAGATCAACAAGATCATAGGTAACCATACTCATGGGTGGAGAGAGGCAATTGTGGTAAAGCGTCCTGCCCAAGGAGACAAACACCATGGTTCCAACCCATGTACCATCACACTAGTCAAACACCATAACCATTGCACCACTGTGCTCTAAAATAAAGGCAATGCTATTATTGACCTTGTTCAGGAAGTATAGAGGGCGCTGTTACCTACTAATGAAAGCCCATTCCACTTTGCAGCCACATCACATGCATGTGTCACTTGGTAAAAGGTTTGGGCAAAAGTATTGAACACAATTTCTGACCATATTGAGAAGAGGTTCAACTCATATATATTTTGCAGACAATACAATGTTAGTTCGTTTTCAAAACTGTTCAGACAGTGATAAATAATCTTCTTTCTAATGAACTACAAGGACCAATGATGAAAAATGGGAGAATTCAAGTCTATGCACTGTTTGTAGTTACCATCTGTGCAGCTCCATAGAGGGCTTTCCACTCTAAACGAGGAATCATTCTGGAGATAAATTCTGGATTGAACTCAACTTCAGTTATATTCATGTTTTCCACCTGCAAGAAACAAATACTATTTGAAACTGCAAACGAAATATTTTGAAGGTACAAGTATGTACATTGTACATGTAAGCACACTGCACCTGTGCTTACATGTGCTTACATGTACATACTTGTACGTTCAAAATGTTTCAAATTCTACTGTACAATTATTGATGGGTGCTAGCAGGGTACATTTGCATTTATTAATCAGGACAAGCAACAGCCACAGCCCCTAAATTTTAGGCCAAGTAAAAAAAAATCAGTTTCTCATCCCCCGTCTGCTTCCCATTATCCGCCCGCCTCCTCTCTTTTTTTTTATAATTCATACATTTGCAAAATATAGTTCTTTTTATTTTTATTTGTTTGCAGTTGCAAAATAAAGTTCTTTTTATTTGTTTCCATCAAAATTGTAGCTATGTTTGCAGGCTCAAACTCTGGTAGAAAGGGTGACAGCTTCTTTGGACACAAAAATATCAGAAAAAGACTTAAGAAAATGGAAGAATCCATCCGCCTTTTGGAAAATCTGCCATCTTTGGGAGAAACAAAATGGGCCTCTTCCTTTTTTCAAAAAGCCCAGATGAGAATTTTGTTGTTACTTGGCCTTAACTATTCCCACCATTTCCTGTTTTGGCGCTCACTTACTGCTTACAGTTACTACATGTACTTACTTTGATGTTAGATTGGTTCCCGACCCATATCAATCCCATAATTTCCCTATTTGTTTTAGTGCTGACGAGCATTAGCAAGCATCAACAAAACTCAAAATTTCCTCTGGAAATAAAAACCTTTTTATGTGTTTTTTTCCACATAGTACAAATGTCTGCTTTCCACCCGCAAAGCGAGTCGCTAAACACTATACATTTCATAGCTGATCAACTAAATATAAAAACAGTGGATAAAAATAGCTGACGATGATTAAAAACAAAATTAATACGCAACAGGAATGTCATGGAATAAGGAAAGGTATAAATTTAATCGGAAATTATGGTACAACAACGACATTGACAGTAAAACGCAACATGAAATTGAGATGGAAATAGTGTCTGCTCAATAATGTGACGTAGCTGGAGTTACCTCCGCCCTATTGGTTATCCTATAGGACAACACAAAGATAAAATATAGGGCTGAGGTACATTGTAACTCCGGTTAAATGTGACAAACAAAACTGTGTTGATTCTCGCAGCAACAAATTGAAGAAGAAAAAAGGGGGAAAATGTTGCAACCTGACGCCACTTCCGCGATTGTGTACAAAGTGTATGGAGAGTCAAGAAAATTTTGTAATATTTCCTAACAAAATTTGAAATATTTCTCAGTCCCGGACTCATGCCTTATCATAATTTTTGCAATGAATGACCTTTAGAGAGAAATGAAGAAAAAACTGTGGCGTCAGGTTGCAACAGTTGTTTCGAAAAACATACATTATCACTACTCCTAGCACTATGAGGCTCCGCGTGAGCGGAGCCTCATAGATCAAGAAGCCCGCAAAATTGCCTGCAGCACAAAACACTAATAAAGTACAAAAACGTCCATCAAAATGCAGCCATTTCACACAGAACCGCTGCACAGTTTGCCCCTATACTCCGTACTTTACCTCTTGACATACTCACGTATCTTGTGCGGAACTAACATGGTTGGATTATGTCGGTTTTTAGGCCAAAATGATGAAAAATATGCCCTTTCCGCACTGAGCCAACCTGACACTTGAAACGTGCACGCACATGATCGAGCAATGATTTTCGGTTCACTCGGAGCGCGCCGCGGGGGGTACGGTACAAGCGAAATGATAGTATGTGCATGCGTACAAGTGCATGTACCGTACCCCCCGCGGCGCGCTCCGAGCGAACCGAAAATCATCGCTCGATCATATGCGTGCACGTTTCAAGTGTCAGGTTGGCTCAGTGCGGAAAGGGCATATTTTTCATCATTTTGGCCTAAAAACCGACAGAATCCACCCATGTTAGTTCCGCACAAGATACGTGAGTATGTCAAGAGGTAAAGTACGGAGTATAGGGGCAAACTGTGCAGCGGTTCTGTGTGAAATGGCTGCATTTTGATGGACGTTTTTGTACTTTATTAGTGTTTTGTGCTGCAGGCGATTTTGCGGGCTTCTTGATCTATGAGGCTCCGCTCACGCGGAGCCTCATAGTTCTAGGAGTACATTATCACATCAGGCATGTCAGGTTAGAAAGCCGATCATTTTGTTTAGAATACTGTTAAAAGTCTTGAAAACTGGGAGGGAGAAAGATTGCTTAATGATAAAGACGTAATTTAGAGTGATAAAAACTGTTTTACAGAATGGAACATGCAGCAAAAAAACGGAGCAACTATAGAATGCAGGGCCACGCCGAAGCAAGGTTTTTTATTTTGCCTGGAGGCGTGGATTGAATAATATGCAAACCTGCAAAAAAGTGCTAAGTACAGCGAAGGAATGCACTGCACTTGTCTTCAAAGCTTCTCATGAAGGATCGGAAGGGAGGACGTGCTTGTAAATGTGTTGGGGGCACTGTCTGGAGCGGCGGAGGCGCGGAGTCTTGGAGTCGCAGAATCGCGGAGACGCGGGGCACTGAAGTGGCCGCAGTGGCGGAGGCGCGGAGTCGCGGAGTCGCAGAGACGCGCACCGATAGAGGGCGCAATTCTCGGCGGAATCTTTTTGAGAACGAAGCATCCATATCCATTTTAAATGGGCGGGCCAATTAGGAAGGGGGGGAGGGCGACGGGGCACTGTCTGGAGTCGCGGAGGCGCGGAGTCGGGGAGTCGCAGAGTCACTTTAATTGGGCGGGCCAATTAGGAAGGGGGGGGAGGGCGACGGGGCACTGTCTGGAGTCGCGGAGGCGCGGAGTCGGGGAGTCGCAGAGTCACTTTAATTGGGCAGGCCAATTAGGAAGGGGGGGGGAGGGCGACGGGGCACTGTCTGGAGTCGCGGAGGCGCGGAGTCGGGGAGTCGCAGAGTCACTTTAATTGGGCGGGCCAATTAGGAAGGGGGGGAGGGCGACGGGGCACTGTCTGGAGTCGCGGAGGCGCGGAGTCGGGGAGTCGCAGAGTCACTTTAATTGGGCGGGCCAATTAGGAAGGGGGGGGGGAGGGCGACGGGGCACTGTCTGGAGTCGCGGAGTCGCGGAGTCGCAGAGTCGCTTTAATTGGGCGCGCAAATTAGGAAGGGGGGGGGGGAGGGCGACGGGGCACTGTCTCTCAGTGGTGGAGGCGCGGAGTCGCGGAGTCGCAGAGACGCGCACCGATAGAGGGCGCAATTCTCTGCGGCTCCACGACTCCACGATCGATTTTCAGAGGTAGGTCGACTGCGGTTCCACGCCTCCACGCAGCCGTACGGAGGCGCGGATGTAGAGTAAAGTGGCCCTGCATTCTATAGTTGTACCAAAAAAACTCGTCAGTCGTCACCAAGCCATGCCTGCCAACATCATGGCCAAAGATGAAAGAAGTCATCACGCCGGAATCTCACCTCAATTTTTAATGGGTATCCATTCTTCACCCCTTTGACGTGAGACGTCAACATGTTATGTGTCAGAAGCTTCATCTTTCTCAGTAATGATAACCGCATAAATTATCAGATTTACTGTTACTGTTTCACAAAAATGCAAATTATTGCGAATCTTCAGTTCCAGTTCTGCAGTTCAACCCGTACGTCCTACATGTCAGCATGTACGTCATTTTTGTACGTACGCGATAGCACGTTTTTAGACAGACCCCCTCGCACAGCCGGGCCTGTGATACAAGGAGAAACACAGATAATTGAGGAAAGACGTCTGACTACCAGACATAAAGTCGAACAGAGTGTCTGGTTCCTTTAGCCAAATCGATATGAATTTATCAAGCGTGTAGTAGGGGTATCTGTCTATTCCTGTTGAAACCATGCTATTTGCAGGGCCGCCGGGTATATTACCCGCTACGGTTTATTAAAAATAAAGAAATTTAAGTAAAAAAAATAACAAAATACACAAAAGAATCCCCCCCCAAAAATCCACACATTCATAAAAAAATCCTGAATTTCCAAGGGGGGGGGGGGGGTAAAAAAACCAGTCTTGGCCCAAAAGTCTGTCAAACATTTCTTCCATATAGGCCTAAAATTATTCATATGTTCAAAATAATGCGAACCCCCCCCCCCCCCGGCCCTGCCGTGACACCCAAAAATATTGTACTGGTAATAATGTCCGCCGATGCCAAACGCTGACACTAGCCAGCTACTCTAAAGAGCGAAACTCACTCCATTCGAGTGACTGAGATTCACTCCCCGGTCGGAAACTAGGGACTAGACGTTTTAGAGTGAACTTGTTCAAAGTTATGTTCCAGTTTTCACACGAGCTTCGACTGAAGTGGTTCTTTTTTCAGACTATTTCAATCTAAAATGAGAGTGAATTTCACTCTAAAACGTCTAGTCTCTAATTTGCAGCCTAATTGGTCACTTGAGCCGGTCACTATACACTAGGCCTATGTGTAATAGTGTTAAAAATCGTCGGATTTGAACTGCGCCCCCATTGAAAGTATGGTACGAGTCCCCCCCCCCCCCCACCCCACCCCACCCCCTATTAATTTTACGGGGCCAAGTGTCCGGACAAAGAGCCCTGTCTACATTTCAGCAATGATTTGCTGATGAAACACAACACCCCCCCCCCCCCGGCAAATATTCCTGGATCCACATCAGTGCCAAGTTCAATGCAGTTCCTCAAACCAAGCGAGCTCGCTAGCACGCAGGGGCGGATCCAGAACACAATGTTTTTGAGGGCCAAAAAAATTGTGGTCTCCCCAAAAGTGGGCCCCAAACAATACGGCGTGGAGTTTGGGGCCCCGAAACATGTTTGGATTTAGATGCTCTCTGTGGCGCGATCTGAGGCAATTTCTGACCACTTTAACCTAATCTTTTTGAGGAAAAGATGGTGGTGTACGCAGTGCCTGCCTTTATTGCGACTTCACTTTAAAAAAACGGGTTCGGTTTGTAACCGAGCTGGGAAGGTTACGCAGAAGATTTGAAAGTGACACGGGGGTAATTCCACTTAATTGATCAAAATTGTATTACTTCAAAAAAACAAAAACTACAAAACGACAGTCATTCTTCAGCAGTCTGCAATAACAGAAAACAGAAGAATAGAAATTAATTTCATTACAAATATACAATGACTATGAATCCAATTATTCAATTATTCAATTATTTTAAATAACCATCTCTCCTTATCCTTGGTTATCTCTGGTCATAATCTGGGGGGGGGGCATGGCCCCCGTTGGCCCCACTGGATCCGCCCTTGTACCACCGCGCACAAATTTAGGTAATATTTCATAAGGAGTCCTGTTTTTTCTCTCCATGCATGCAGAAATCGATTTAATTGTTTTGGATTAATTTGGACCCGGGTGTCGATCATATCCATGCACGGTATAACTCCGATACAGCGCATGCTAGGCGGTCAGCGAGCACTCTACCAATTTGAGCTACTCACCTAACATATTGGGCCCTTTTTATACTCAAAGAAGGAAAAATACCAAAGAGTAATTATACCAGCAAAAACTGAGGAAAAAGTTGGAAGATCCGGGTTTTGATTTCGATACCTACCAACTTCTCGCATACAAAATGAACGCTCTACCATTTGAGCTAATCCCCAACATATTGGAACGTTTTTATTTCAATTTTTGATTTGTTTCTTGAAATTTTGAACAATTAGAAAGGAAAAAGTGATGACAAACATTTGTGTGTGTGGAAGATCCGGATATAAATCCCGGATATACCTCTCGCCTATCGAGCGCTAGGCTCTATCATTTTTTTTTGAGCTAATCCCCGGCCACGCAAACGTTATACGTGGCGGCCATTGAGTATAGAAGACGTCTTTTAATGCATTGTCCCAGCAAAACAAAGACATTGCCTTCTAAGATGGCTAATTGAAGCGTAAGGTCTTTGGAAATTTTATTTTAATCTAAATTTACACACGGGGAGGGGCAAGAGGGCTCGATTAGTTTCAAAAAGGAGAAGGGGATTAATTAAATATAGTCATCGTGCTCTATTTCCACATTGAAATAGTAACATTATGGTAGCCTACGGGGTATAGCTGATAGCTTACCAGGGAAATGCCAAAGGTTTTATTTTATTTCATAGAGGACATAAATACAAATGGGTTTCTTTTTTTTGGGGGGGGGGGGGGGGAGGGGGCGCCCTGGTGAGATCCTCCCCATGATCCAAGCTGTACAGGTAACATTTTAGGAGCTATTTTGTGCTATAAAAAAAGAGGCCTAGTCTTCTAGATTTGAGCATTTGAAGGAGGGTATACACGCGGGAAATTCGCATAAACACATCTGACCCCCGTGAACTTCTGTGAAGTAGCAAATTTGGAAAAGAAATCGCAGAGATAATTTGATAATGCTTTGTTTAGTTTAATTGCTTTGTTCAGTCCGATCTGATGCGTCGGACAGTGTTTTTTTTTTTAACTCGTAAATCAAACATACGGCGGCCGGACAAATAATCAGTGGTGGCGCCCTACACTTCTTTCTAGCGATGCATCAGAAAAGTGCTGCAGTGCAGTACTCTGTGTACAATAATTCAATGCACTTTTTATGCGACAGAAACACACTTCGAGTCAAGATGGAGCATGTTTATGTTTTTTGCTGTGGATATTTTTGGAACGTTTACACAGTCCTTTCGTCTCTACCAGATCGCCTTTGTTAGGCAGGTGAGTTTCGGTATTTCCTTCAAAGAATTTATATTGTTTTTGTGAATATAATTGGCGGTTTTGTGAGAATGTGACATTCCAATCATCCTTCTAAATTTTATTTTAGTCAATTGTTAGTGTTAGTGCCAGTGGTGGGTCTGTTTAGTCCGAGTGGTCATGGTCCGAGTAACTAGGACTCTAGTCCGAGTAACTTGGACCCAACTTATCGCCTTTTTTAACATTTGGACATGGTCTGGCGATAGTAGGGTCCAAGCTAATACCGCGAGCTGGACAACACCGTCCCAAAAACCAACATTTTCCAACAAAAAACATCAGATTTCACCTTCAAAACGGCCTCCAAATTACTAGATATGCCACCTGAGGTACAAGTAGACATCGATGATTAAGATGGTTGTACTGAAGTTTACTTACGATCCGGAAAAAAGTGAAATTTTCCGTTCATTTCGGAGAGCTCCCCTTGCGATCTTGAACGCTGGGCATGAAGAAGAAATCGCGTCGTTCAAACATTAAACACGATCGGAAATTTAACGTGTTCAAGATCGCGAGGGGAGCTCTCCGAAATGAACGGAAATTTCACTTTTTTCTGGATCGTAAGTAAACTTCAGTACAACCATCTTAATCATCGTTGTCTACTTGTACCTCAGGTGGCATATCTAGTAATTTGGAGGCCGTTTTGAAGGTGAAATCTGATGTTTTTTGTTGGAAAATGTTGGTTTTTGGGACAGTGACAGGATGATGTTGTCCAGGTTGCGGTATTAGCTTGGACCTAGCCCCACTAGTGTGGCCGCGGTATGCTGCGCTGAACTCAGAGGTTCAGCGCAGCATACCGACGGCCACACTAGTGGGGCTAGCTTGGACCTTACTATCGCCAGACCATGTCCAAATGTTAAAAAAGGCGATAAGTTAGGTCCAAGTTACTCGGACTACTAGGACTCTACTGTAAGTACATGAAGTACTGTCTACGAATATCGCCTTTTTACATTTGGACATTGGACATGGTCGGGCGATATAGTACCATGTCCATATGTAGCCCCATAAATGTGGCCAATTTACTGGACTACCTCCGTAAATAAAGGCCACACTTCTACCATGTACAAAAACATGACGAACTTTGTCAAAATTTGATTTTCACATTAAGGCTTACATGTAGTTTGTAGGCCTAGTTTATTTTTGCTTTAGAAGCATTCTCTCCCTCTTTAGGCTAATCAGAAAGTGCTGCCTTTTTCAGATGTCCAATTTTCGTGAAATTTCATGTTGAAATTTTGATACGCAAACGTGTGCAAACGAATCTGGAAATTTCACGAAAAATAGACATCTGAAAAAGGCAGCACTTTCTGATTAGCCTATAAAGAGGGTGAGTATGCTTCTAAAGCAAAAATAAACCACAAACTAGGCCTAAGCCTAAATGTGAAAATCAAAATTTGACAAAGTCATGAAAGTTTGACATGTTTTTCGTACATGGTGGAAGTGTGGCCTTTATTTACCGAGGTAGTCCAGTAAATTGGCCACATTTATGGGGATTGTCCATATGTTAAAAAAAGGCAATTCGTAGAGTCCTAGTTTAGTTACTCGGTCTACATGATCATGTAGGTCTGTTTAACATTTGGTTAGCATGGTTAGCATGCCTAACGTTATTCAGTATTCGTGCATGTTTTGTTTTAACCTATTAATATTATTGTATTGTGGGTGCAAACATGACAAAACAAACTCTCTATAGGGCCTATTTTAACCATGGAGCATGTGCTTAATTAAATTCAAAAGGAGTAATCGTGTAGTACTTTAGGACCACGTTCCATATACATACGTGTACATGATAATTGATATACATGTACAATGTAGGAGAACGAAAAGACATGTAAAGGTCCGAGCCTGAGGCTGTAAGGCTTAACATGCGCTACGGCTAAGCCTCAGCCTTTAGGCTAAACATGATAAATATTTGATGTGGCGGAAAGAATGTTGCAACCTGACACCACTTTTTTCTTGAAGAGACATGAATCTGAGACTGAGAAACATTTCCAATTTTGTTTGGAAATACTTAAAAAATGTTCTTGCCTCTCCATAGACTTTGTACACAACCACTGAAGTGGCGTCTGGATGGGCCTCCATTCTTTCCCATTTGGTGATGATACCAGCAGGGAGAGTCACTTTATGTGTTTGAAATCATTGAAATATTTCAGCTTTTTATTTCTTCAGAGTTTTACAATAGAAAACACAATTGTTTCCCCATGGCCTGACTGAGTCACACTTTCTTTCTTTTTGGATGTACATGTAGGGCCTAGTGCTTGTTTTTGCTTACATTATTTTGTGTACACGTATTAAACGTAATTAATTCTACGTTATGTCTCCATGTAATCTTCCAAGACTCTTTTGACTATAACAATGACATACATATCATACAAGATCTTTAAATTTGTTTTACTACAGATTCCTAAAATTAATATAACTGTATGTAATTTTCATACAAACTAAAATCTGTAAAAAGTGCAAAATGTTGAATATTAGGACTGTTAACCCTTGCCTCTCAAATTCTATTCCAAATAAACTACATGTATTGCACAATTTGCAAATGAGTTACATGTAAAATGTATAGTTAAACATTAATGTGCTTGGTATGATTTTAGTATAGCAACAATGTACAGTGTATGGCCATCTTACATTACAATGTACATGTACATGTACACCAAATAAGCACTGTATACATTACCTGTATACATGTACATGTACTGTAAATCATACAGTGTACATGTACATGTACACATGGTTTCTTACCAGTAGAAAAAGACCAGCAATGATGAGTGTGGAATGATTCAACACACAAGCTTCCTGACAATTTGCTTCCTGTTTCAGTTCACCACAGTGAAGCATATGGGTAATCACTTATCAATCATCATCTCATACTAGGGTTCATTTGGGCCCTTCCTGAACAATGATGCCTCATGGAATATTATTGGAAATTATAATGTAGAAATTGGTTTTGGACATATTTTCAAGGACCATACCGTACATGTACCGGTATACATGCATTGTGTAGTACATATTTTCTGTGCATTTGTACACGAATATGTACTTTTTGTATGTTTTTTTCAGTTTGTATACTTTACGTGCAATGTACATTTTACATGTACCTGCTACACGTCAGAGTGGGACCTCGAGTGCAGAAAAACATGCAAAACAAAGTCAGGGCAACTTAACTCACTCTTTACACAACAAAATTCTCCGAAATTTTCAATAGGCAAAGACAAGGTCCTCAGTACATTGTATTTCACCAGCAAGTATGAGGTCTCAATTAAATTTGTAACTACGAGACTTCTTCAATATTTTGCACCTGAGAGAAAAGCCAATTTCAATTTGAAGCCTAAGACTAGACTATAGGGGGCCTACATATATGTCCAACATTTTGAAATTGATGTACTGTAGAAATAGAGACTAGGTACTAGATGTTTCTTTGACACTGTCAGTTGATTGCATGCAGTACTAAAGGGGTGTTGGACTGGTTGTTTCATGTGCCAGTCTAGTTTCTTGTTTTGCATTTTTTTACCATCTTGTTTTGGGACTCTCATACTTTGAGAGTCCAAAATTTTCGGACTATATGCAAAATTTTGACTGCTGATGTTGGGAGTTTTGTAAAGAAAATAATCAATTTATTCACTGCTAAAAATGATTTTCTTACATTTCTTATTCAAAGAAATAATTCTTGCTATAAAAAATATGTTATTGTCTGACTCCCTGCAAACTTTTTCTTGGTACATGTACATGTATGATGTAGTGAGACAAAAATTGGTACCCTTTGTGATGAGATTTGTTTTTCTCAGAGAATTCAACCATTTTAACAGCACCTTTTTAATAGTGTTTTTAGATAATATTAAATAATATTTGACTTTTTTTAGGGGTGGGGTTGATTGTGTGAAGTGAATTAGTCTAGTTTGTGATATTACGGTTAAAGTTGCCAATGTACATGTCCCTTTTAAATTCCAAGTCACAAAATTAAACATAAATTGTAAAACACTGTACAGCCTGACCAGTAGCTGATAGGCATGATTGGTGGAGAAGTTGGCTGCCTCCTGAGCGTATCATTCCTGTACATGTACATGTATACATGTACCAGTACACTGTACAGTGTAAGTATGTTTCAAGTTTGCAGGTACATTTTGTGTACCAAAACCCCGACATGCTGCGTCATGTGGTTTGAAACAGAAATGAGAAACACCCAATTTATACCAGATTGAATAGGTACAAGGAATATGAATCCTGCGTCATCTTCAAACCATATACAAGGAATATGAATCCTGCGTCATCTTCAAACCAAGGTGAGGGAGGTGAATGACCTATTTATCCTTGGAGATGTTCTCGGTAACGGAGGCAATGACAAATTGTGAACATAACTTGGATCACTTAAGAACTCTATGCTGTGTAATCATTACAATGAATGCCATTTAAATGAGTGACATCTCGGACACAGATCCCCTACACCTTCTGCTGCTCGTACGTAAACCTACATGTCATTGTATGTAATGTGAAGAGGTCATTCACTCATCTTTCCTAGTAGTGAAGATGGTTTTAATAATGCGCCAGTAATCTCCTTGAACTTCAAACTTTATCCTTTTCCTGGAGCCAAAAGTTGCCAGCCAGTGTGGTAGTCATCAGAGCCTTAGTCTAAGATGTCTGAGAGTAGACAGTTGGTGTCTTGGGTTTTAGTCTGAAGTCATCAAGTTTCTTGAGAGTACACGTAGTATTATTAGACGGCTGCTCGTCTGGTTTGAGTGTAAATACTGTCTCTTATGGAAACTGTTTCACACATTGTGTGTCCTTAGAATCGTAAGTACTGTGTGTGCAGTTAAGGGATTAGGATGTGATTGTAAATGTTTGAAATTTTTCAGATGTTTAGTTTGGTGTACCTACAGGTAAGGATTAACGTTTGTGAAGTTGTGTTTTTACCAGCCTCAAAGGATTTGACTGGATGGAGCAAGTAAGTGATAACAGTGACAGCTAGACGACGATCA